CATATGAGCAGTTGCACCCGAGTCCATGATCCACGTCTGGGTGGCTTCCTGGGATGGTTGTGCAAAGTGCACCCGAGGAGCTGTTGGGTTTGTAGGGGCGTAATTAAGATTACACCTATGCCAACACTTAATTGCAAATGTGGCCTATCTTGCCACATATTTGGCATATTGGACGATTTCCTGGAGCGAGAGGCTGCGAGGAGGATTGATCTGGTGTGGTAGTTGTCTAATTTGTGTTGTTGCAGTACCAAGAGTTTCTTTTCGGATTCTTGGACCGATTCTGATTTGAATTGGTAGTGTAATATGCTGCGTTTGGTTGAGATTGCTCTTTCTTGATTTCTTGATTGACATGTATTTCTTCGCTGCAGAGGAGCGAATAGAGCGCGTCTAGATCAGCGGACAGAGAGGAAGACCGAATGTATTTCTTGAACGAGTTGTAGCTTGCCGGTAAGCCGTTTAGGATGTGTAGAACGATTTCCTCCGGATCAATTTTTGTTCTAGATGCGGCTATGTTGTCTACGATGTTCTTGACTTGTGCCAAGTATTGTTGCATCGTGAGATTGTGCATTTGGATGTGATGCAACTCGTTCTTGAGTTGAATGATGCGAGAGCTGCTCCACGACTGTAGTCGTCGTTCAAGAACCGTCCAGACTTCTTGAGCAGTCGTGGCGTTGATGACGTAAGGTAAGATTGTAGGAGAGATGGTGATTGGTGGAGAAGAGGGCGGAGATGAGATTACTGTCAATAAGGCGCCACCGTGCGTGTTCAGCCGAACTGACGTCCGTCGGAGGAGTTGTGTTGCGGTGAGGTGATCGGCATACCCATTGGCCGAAAGATGTTGAAAGATGTGTGTTCTCCAGAGGGCGTAGTTATCAGAGGTAAGGGAATAGGATATCAAGTTCTTGATATTGGAGATGATGAACTTTAGGGTCAGCGGAATGACGAGCTCTGCTGGCATTGCTGATAGCATGGTGGAGACGGGGGAGGGTAGAAGATGATTCTTGATCCCCCATCATAGCTTACTGATACCATGTAAGAGTGAGAGAAGAAGGCTAGCAACAGGAAGTGACATGGTGAAGCCAAGACGGAAACATATAAGGAAAATAGAAGAATTATATTGTCTCTGTAATGACTAGTTACAATGTATATATAGTGTGAAATAATGAAAACCAGATGTGTATACAGGTGTGGGACTAACTCAGTTAACCTTATGCTTACACAAAGAACCAAGAATGATTTCATGCTACCTTTGAAGACTTGTGTTGGGCCATCATATTATTGAGACGATGAATAGTCATATCTATATTGGAGGCTTAGATATTAGCGTGAACTTTACTTCATATTTTGCCTTAAATCTGGCCTTCATGACCTGAACCAGCATTGGAAAGAGCTTATGCAATAAAGCAGATATACTTTCTTAGGAGAGAGAGAAGAAGTAGCTATCAAAATGATAATTTGATAGATTGAACAAGGAGAGCTAAAACTTGAACGGTTTGAAATAGTGAGCAATTAGAAGCACTACAGGAAAATCTACGGTCGGACGTTCATGTGGAAATATTTACGACCGGTGGGTTTGCCAGCGTAATACCCGCCGGTAACTTAACGGTGAAATATCAGGCGCAATTTCCGCCTCTGAAACACCAGGCGCATATTCCGCTGGCTTTTTGTCGGTATTTTAAAAATTTCCGGCTCATATTTCGCCGATAATTAATGTTTTATGTGTCTTCTTTCCTAGAAACCATTCAATCAATTATCATAATCTGAATTGAGTTGATAAGCTGGATGTTGAGTTTCCCAGATTTAAGAAACATCTTATATAATTATGTATAGTAAGAAAATTATATCATTAAATTCTCCTATAATTATGCATATTATAATAGTTTTATCCCGTTTCATCAATTTAGATGAGACCTTTCATCTCCTCTCACTTGAAATCTTAATCCCACCACTGATCTTATCTACCTCTTACAAGTTACAAAGCCTTCAGCGCCAACAATCATCCTTATCCTCTTCGGGCCACCCTCTTCAAAATTTGGATGCTACAGGGCCATCAGCTTTTGCTTGGCTCATTCTCAAACCTATATATATATTTCTAATTTAGTCTCTTCACTATACATTCTCAAACCTATATCAATTAATTATAATATCAACTATAATGACCCAAAATACACTTGTGAGATATTGTCTACTTTTTATTCAACCCAATGTATTCTATAATGATGTAATAACTCAAATATGTGAAATAAATTTTCTTGAAAAATATGAAAATTTTGAAGTAGAGCGCTCTGGCGTTGATCTGGTGAGCACTGCAACGCCAGTCGCCAGGCATATACATTATATAATAACCCCAGGTGATACCATATTGATCCACGTGATTCACTGATTGGGAGTCATAAGGAGCTGGAGATTAATTAGGAGTTATAAGGAGTTAGGACTATTGATTCATATAATTCAAGGGGAGTTATAACGAGTACATTAATTGAGAGTTATAAGGGACGACTGATTGGGAGTCAAATGCGCAGGAGCAAAACACCCTTGAGATACACTTATTGAATATATGAATACTTATACCACCACTGTTACGAGCAATGTACTGATAATATGTCTGTCACTAATATTGTTTACTATCATTAACACTATTTTATGTTATCAATTATGACACTAATATAATTACTACCGTTAGTACTATTAATTTTTACTTATATTGTGACTTATAATGTAATGAATTGAGATATGATGAATCATAAAAGAATGAATTAATACATATAATCAATATAGATATTAATGCATATATTTTCTTATATGATTTATAATATATTATTCTTTTTTATCTTGCATTTATTTTAGTTGTAAAATTTTAGTTACTTGTTAAGCTATATGTTCATTATATGATTTTACATGTTTTCAGGAAAATGTAAGGATCCTATAATATCAGGCTTCTGACACGATAAAAATGTAATCATATTTTTTTCGTTGTTCATTGGTGAGCTCTAATTAAATGGTTAAAATGGAAGACAGATATAATTCTTTCAATATACATCCTAGAGTGTGACATCTGAAGCCTGCATTTTTTACTTTGGCCCTGCACAGTTCTTACTTCCCCTTAATGTTCTTCTTTTTAATTATGATATTTTAGTTATATACATCTTTCACTTAATGAAAATTGGCACCTAAACTACTAGTGTATATGGCTCCAAAGTAAAACATCAAATGATTAGAGATTGTATTTCTCATGTGAAACTCAATGTCTGATGCATTTGCTCATCTACAATCTTTTCGACCTCCATTACCTGTCGACTACGGTCATTCCGACCTCCGTTGCCATACAACGGTCCTTCTAACCTCCATCGCTAGCCGACTATGGTCCTTCCGACCTCCATCGCAAGAAAATGATCTTTCCAACCTCTGTCGCCCGCCGACTATAGTTTTGCCGACCAAATATCAATAATGATTTTTTTTAAGTCTTATTATGTAATGTACATTTTATGATGTATATTTATTACATCAAGCCAATGCCTTCCCCCAAGGAAGGGCCTCATTTGTAATTGATTGCAAATAATAGTGAATACATTCAAACTGAGCCATACCCCGTGGTTTTTTCTCTTTTTCGGATTTTTCATGTAAAAATCTTGGTGTCTTATGAATATTGCACCATCTATCTCTTATCTTATTGAGTGCTGGATCTTTGTACAAAGTTAAGATGTTAAAATTTATATTTCTCTACTGCCGCAAATATTCCAGGACGTAATAATTATATTGGTAAATATAAAAAAATTTGGAATACATATATAAATTTATTAGTGTTTTATGGTATGTTTGTAAATCTTGTAATTTCTTAAGTTATATATAAATAAAGTCAAAATTTTCATATGATCAAATATAATTTTTAACTCATTTAAATCAAATATTTTTGATAATCAATGTTTGGTTTGGTTGAATTTTGAATTTAATAAATTTATAGCTAAATGGACATTTCAATAAGATGAATCCACCAATCCAAATGAGCATAAATTAAGTATTTGAAACATAATCAGAAACTTTATGATATTGTTTAAGAGATCAAATGATAGTTGAATTTATGTGTTTACAGTCAAAATCAGTGTCTAGATGAGAGTAATCCAACGAGCCTAATATCACTTAATTTCAATGCCATTAAGATAGTTAAATATTTAAATAATTTAATCGTATTGAAATGTCTCTCAAAATTTATAAGTGGACTCACATTCTTGACACGAGGGAGGAACAGGGGCAGATCCAAACCTTAAGCTAGAGTTGGAAAGTGGACTTCTCAATCGACTCCTATGATTAATGCCAATAACCACTGACACCCTATTGTCGTCACCAGACTAACCGCCTTACTTCCATTGCCTTAGCATAGTCATCCAACTATTGTTGTTAACTACATACTACCATTGACACTTATGTTGACACAGAACATTGTCAATAAGATCAATGCATGTCATCGACACTAACGTTAATGCACATCATCCCCACCAAGGTTGATGTTGGTACCAAGGTTGATGTATAGTACCAACATCAACCTTGATGCCCACTATTAGCCACTAAGATTGGTGCAACCGTTCAACACCAATATTGATGCATACCATCGACACTACCTTCGATGGATGCCATCATCAATAAGATTAGTGCATGTAGTTGACATCAACATGACACATGTTGTCGTCGACAAGATTAATGCACCAACTTTGATAAAAGTCATCATCAAGGCTGATATATGTCGTTGACATCATCGTTGACATCCATAACAAGACTAACACCCATCATCAACATCATTTATATATTTTATTTTATTCAAAGAAAAATTTTCCATTTCATACAAATAATTAGATTCTCCATTCTTTAACAAAAATAAATAAATAAATAAGTTAGTATTATATTATATATTTTATTTGCGGAAATTCGATTAAACATTTAAGTCGAATTTCCCTCCAAAGTATGTTTTAGAACTTTTTGGCGGTAACAGTACAGTGCATTTCATAGCCCACGCGGGCGGCGAACTAAGAGGTCTAAAATAAAACTATGCCCATGAAGCCAGAGAACCCGGTTCACCTTCCGGTCGAGAAGCTGAGCCTCGGCTGCCCGGTCTTGGACCGGTTCCTTGGTGGCGGCATTCCCTTCGGCTTCGTCACCGAGCTCGCCGGCGAAGCCTCCGCCGGCAAAACTCAGCTCTGTCTACAGATTGTCCTCTCCGCCGCAGCCCCCCGCTCTTCTGGAGGCCTCTCAGCCGCCTCTCTCTTCATCTCCACCGAACCCCCCTTTCCCCTCCGCCGTCTTCTCTCCCTTTCCTCCGACGCCGCCCCCCTTGACCACATCTTCGTCCGCTCCGCCTTCTCGTCCAAGGAGCTCTTTGAACTTCTCAATCATGTCGACTTGCTGCTCTCACTCGTCTGCCACTCCTCCGACCGCCGCATCCGTCTGCTTGTCCTCGACTCCGCCGCCGCCCTCTTTCATACCGATGCAGAAGACGCTGTTCATCGCTCTTCAGAACTATTTGCCGTCGCCGCTAAGCTCAAGGAGCAAGCGAGAAGATTCAATCTTGCCGTCATCGTCACCAACCACGTCGTCGACGTTGTCGATGACGGGTCTAAGGGTCTCCGGGTAGGCAATTACTTGAATCTATCTTCCTCCGGGAGGAAGGTTTGCCCGGCGATGGGTCTCGCCTGGGCGAATTGTGTCAATATGCGGCTTTTCCTCTCGAGATCTGCCGCGGAAGGAAATGTAGTGGATATCAACGGATGCACGATGCTGGAACGGAAATTGCAGGTAGTATTTGCCCCGCACTTGCCGGAAGGTTCTTGCAAGTTTGTGATTCGACGAGAAGGTGTATTTGGGGTGGGTAATCAGGCCTTGATTCCTACTTCACCGCAATGATTTCTCTCTTCTTTTTGCAAACTGCAACTTTTATTTGTTCCCATCTTGTTTTTTGGCCTCTTGATTATTAAATTGCTATGCTATACATCCATTCCAAGATTGATGATCAGCTTAAAATTTTCTAGTGGATTAAGATCAAAGATGTTGCTTTGTTGTTGTTCATGTGCCACGTTTTTTATGCATGATTACTTCATTACATTCGAACTTGTTTCTACAATAATATTTCAGCTTGCAATACTGCAACTTAAGTGGCTGTTTAGTAAATCCCATTTCACTTAAGATTTACTAAGTTCGGGATTTATCAGTCTGGAACATTGCAACTTAGGGTCTGTTGGCTACCAGTAGGATTTAATTCTAACAGGCTATAGTTAATCCTCAAGGTGTTAAATATATTTCATATATGGGATGTTAAGTTTGATTAAATCCTAAGAAACTGTTTGGAATATATATTTGTGATTTAGGATTTAAATGAATGAGAAAGATATGCATGATGGGAATAGATGTGTATCTCTTCAATCATACTTCCCACATGATTTACTAAATCTATGTTTTAGCAAAAATAGGAGGAAAATAGGATTTATGTAGTTCAAAAAATTAGTTCTTATGGCTCAATCTTGCAGCCAAAGAACCTCTTACTCCAATATTCTTGGATACCAATTGCATAGTAAGTATTATATTATATTTTCAACTAGACTAAAAAGAATATTAGTTATTCTAGAAATCTAGTAAGAACATGATTTCTTAAGCCCTTCTTTTTACGCCCAAAATACCAAATTTATGTGGTACCTACTTTTTTCAATATTTAGGTCATATTATAGCACAAAAAATAAGAAAATAATATAACAATGCACTATATCATTATGGAAGTTGTTGGTTGCAGCTAAAATGGCTTCAAAAATAATATTCACTTCTATAGGAGCTATGTTGTTGAGTGTTACAAAGGCGAAGTGTTCATTGAGTGCAAGTTCTTCAATTCAGATAAACAATATATGCATAGTAATTTGTTACACAACATTTGTTTGAGATAATTTTTTTCAGTTGCTTATGATTTGTAATATAAATGGTCATTATTCTTTACATAAAATAGTTCATATTGACTACACCTCTTGAAATAAGCAAAAAAGTTTGAACAATGAAAGAACTTATAGAATGTGGAAGGATTAGGATGTCACACTCCAGAATTTATATTAAAAGAATTATATCAGTTTTTTATTTTAACCATTTGACAAGAGCTTATCAATGAACAACGGAAAGAAACATGATTGCATTTTTTATCTTGTTAGGAGCTTTATATCATATGATATTTATCATTTCCCAAAAATATGTAAAACCACATAATGAGCATACAACCCAGCAAGTAACTAAAATCTTATAAATGAAATAAATGCAAGATAAAAGAGAACAATATGCTATAAATCATATAAAAAATATATATACATTAATGTGTATATTGATTATTTGCATCAATTTATTCTTTTATAGTTCATCTCATTTCGATCCATTACATATCAATCATAGTAGCAGTAGCAATCAATAGTTTTAATACTAGTAATAACATTAGTTTCATGATCAATAACATTAAATAATATTCATGACAATAAACCGTATTAGTATCAGTCACAATATCAGTATATTATCTGTAGCAGTGTCAGTATCAGTATTCAGATATTCAACGAGTGTATCTTAAGGGTATATTGCTCTTGCACGTATGGCTCTCAATTGTCGATGACGGGTCTAAGGGTCCCCGGGTAGGCAATTACTTGAATCTATCTTCCTCCGGGAGGAAGGTTTGCCCGGCGATGGGTCTCGCCTGGGCGAATTGTGTCAATATGCGGCTTTTCCTCTCGAGATCTGCCGCGGAAGGAAATGTAGTGGATATCAACGGATGCACGATGCTGGAACGGAAATTGCAGGTAGTATTTGCCCCGCACTTGCCGGAAGGTTCTTGCAAGTTTGTGATTCGACGAGAAGGTGTATTTGGGGTGGGTAATCAGGCCTTGATTCCTACTTCACCGCAATGATTTCTCTCTTCTTTTTGCAAACTGCAACTTTTATTTGATCCCATCTTGTTTTTTTGCCTCTTGATTATTAAATTGCTATGCTATACATCCATTCCAAGATTGATGATCAGCTAAAAAATTTCCAGTGGATTAAGATCAAAGATTTTGCTTTGTTGTTGTTCATGTGCTACGTTTTTTATGCATGATTTCTTCAGCACATTCCAACTTGTTTCCACAATAATATGTCAGCTTGCAATACTGCAACTTAAATGGCTATTTGGCTATTTAGTAAATCCTATTTCACTTAAATTTTACTAAGGGTGTCTCCAGCCTAACTCCAAAAGACTGTAAGGTGTAGCTGGTTTGCTCCATTCGAACGGCAAAAAAATTGCTAATCAATGGAGGGTGAATAGTGCGACGCCAATATTGACGTGCACTGTTCACCAACGCGATTTTTCTCTCTCAACCGGATTTGCCAAAGAAACGCGCGAAAGAGGAGAAAAATGATTACCTTCACAGAAGCGCGCAAAATGGAGTTCGATTCACGACATTTTTAAGTTTCACCGCATTTTGGAGTGAAAAATGGGACTTTCATTTGGAGATGCCCTAAGTCCGGGATTTATCAGCTTGGAACATTGCAACTTAGGGGCTGTTGGCTATAAGTAGGATTTAATTCTAACAGGCTATAGCAAATCAAGATTTAGTAAATCCTCAAGGTGTTGAATATATTTCATAAATGGGATGTTAAATTTGATTAAATCCTAATCTGTTTGGCATATATACATGTGATTTAGGATTTAAATGAATGAGAAAGATATGCATAATGGGAAGTGATGTGTATCTCTTCAATCATACTTCCCACATGATTTACTAAATCTATGTTTCAGCACAAATAGGAGGAAAATAGAAGCTAAGAGAATATGATTTCTGTAGTTCAAAAAATTAGCTCTCCTGGCTAATTCTTGTAGCTAAACAACCTCTTACTCCAATATTCTTGGATACCAATTACATAGTATTATATTATCTTTTCAACTAGACTAAAAAGAAATATTAGTTATTCTAGAAATCTAGTAAATTTGATGCTCTAGTAAGCTTTATTTCTAAGAACATGATTTCTTAAGGCCTTCTTCTTACAACCAAAATACCAAATTTATGTGGTACCTACTTTTTTCAATATTTTTGTCATTATTATAGCACAACAAATAAGAAAATAATATAACAATGCACTATATCATCATGGAAGTTGTTGGTTGCAGCTAAAATGGCTTCAAAAATCATTTTCCACTTCTACAGGAGCTATGTTGTTGAGTGTTACAAAGGCGAAGTGTTCATTGAGTGCAAGGTCTTCAATTCAGATAAACAATATATGCATAGTAATTTGTTACTCAACATTTGTTTGAGATAATTTTTTTTCGGTTGCTTATGATTTGTAATATAAATGGTCATTATTCTTTACATTAAATAGTTTGGATTGACTACACCTCTTGAAATAAGCAAAAAAGTTTGAACAATGAAAGAACTTATAGAATGTGGAAGGATTAGGATGTCATACTCCATGATCTATATTGAAAGAATTATATTAGCCTTTTATTTTAACTATTTAACTAGAGCTTATCAATGAACAACGAAAAGAAACATGATTGTATTTTTATCTTGTCAGGAATTTTATATCATACGATCTTTACCCTTTTCCGAAAACATGTAAAATCACGTAATGAGCACACAACTCAACAAATAACTAAAATATTACAACTGAAATCAATGCAAGATACAAGAGAACAATATGCTATAAATCATATAAAATATATATACATCAATGTGTATACTGATTATCTGCATCAATTTATCATTTTATAGTTCATAACATCTCAATTTATTACATATCAGTCATAGTAGCAGTAACAATCAACAATATTAATACTAGTAACGATATTAGTTTCATGATTAATAATGTTAAATAGTATTCATGATAGGAAATCGTATTAGTGTTAGTCACAATATCAATACAGTGTTTGTAGCACTGTCTGTATCAATATTCATATATTCAACGAGTGTATTTTAAGTGTATCTTGCTCTTGCACTTATGATTCTCAATCAGTCGCCCCTTATAACTCTTAATCAATGTACTCTTTGTAACTCCCCTTGAATCACATGAATCAATTACCCCGATTCCTTAAAACTCTCAATCAATCTCTAACTTTTTATAACTCTCAATCAGTAAATCACGTGGATCAGTGGGGTATCACGTGGAGTTATTATATCATGTATATGATATAATTTAGTTCTTTATTTAAAATGCAATAAAATCCTATCAAATCATTTAGAATGATCAAATATATAATATATTTAAATTTGCACGATGAAAGCTTATGAAATCAAGAGATAATGTATTTTTTACAGATTTATAAGAGATAAAATTCATAGAAATCAAAATTATTGAAAACATAAGTAAGAGATTAGTCATTTACAATGAATATAATAAAATTTGTAACATAAATGACTGACAAATATGATCCAAATGCCTCTATGTCCTCTCTCTTCTTCCCCTCTTTCAATTTCTTCATGGCCAAGCAATCAAGTAAGAGAGTCGGTGGGGTGAGACAGGGATATTTAAAATTCTTCATTGCTTAGTGCCGCAGCTCTCATTAGATTAGTGCCAAAGTGCTATACTTCATAATTTTTATATTTTTTAAGAAAATTTATTTCACATATTGAATTATTTCATAGTATTAGACTATTAGTTGAAACAAAAAATAATTATATGATTTATAGTTTTAGTTGATGTGAAATTAATAAATATTAATTAATAGTGCTATAAAATCAAAGTTATATCTACTTATGATGTGTCGAATGTGGACATATATGAGGATTGAGGACTTGACTTCTTGGTGTAAATTTTGGTGGTTAAAATTAAACATTTTTGTAGGAAGAACTATATAATTCATGCATGTATTGAGTTGGGTTTTCTAAATTTGCAATTGGATTGATTGTGTTGTATGGATTTGAATGATAGGCATCAGCTAGTTTG